TGTGAACAGCTGGCTGGAGCCCAACGAGCTGGTGGGTTAAGGCCTGGCTGTGGCAACACGGAGGTCCACTGATCCCCACAGGCCAGGCCGAGGGACCCTAATATAACTATAAATAAAATAGGACTTCAAAGCTAGGGCTTGCCAATGACAGAATGACAACACAAAGTAAGGAACATATACAAAAGATTGATTTTTCTCTTTGGGGTGATTACATACATACTATACTATTTCATTATCATGTCAAACAGTACAACTGGCAAAATAGGTCAGCTAATAAGATAAACCTGTATGCATGGAACAAACAACTGTCACACCATCTCTGGGTTTCTTCCGCTCACAGAAAACATCTGTGATTTGAGGATGATTGTATCTCAAAGACTTACTATAGGGATCAATTTGCTATGACTATGAAGAGTGCTTTGAAAAGTATAGAGTTTTTCATAATATATATGAGGCTGTTTTTTGTTGTTATTTTGATTATTTTAGATAAACATCGACGTGAGAGAGACATAGCGAGGGCCGGGGCTCAAGTCTGCAACTGAGGTATGTGTCCTTGACCGGGAATCAAACTCAAGACCCTTCAGTCCAAGGAATGATGCTTTATCCACTGAACCAAACCAGCCAGAGGGCTATGAGGTAGTTCTAATACCAGAGGATTCACAATCTCAAAACCTTAATAGGTCAAATCTTAGGAAAATTTAAGATTTTTCTTTAGTTTGGGACAAAATTTAACTTAAGATCATTACTAATACAATAAGACTGAAAAATAGCTCCTTAAGAAAATAAACTACTTATGCACTTTAGAATACTAATCCTATATAATAAAAGCCTAATATGCTAAGTGTCCAGTCAAATGGTCGGTCGTTCAACCAATCAAAGCACAATATGCTAATGATATGCTAAGGCCTCTCAACCGCTTGCTATGATGTGCACTGACCACCAGGGGGCAGATTCTCTGACTGATAAGTTAGCTTGCTGCTGGGGTCCAGACTATCAGGACTGAGCAAGATGGGCCCAACATGTCCTGGAGCCCTCCCGCAGTCCCTCCCTGACTGGCCAACCTCCCACATCCCTCCCTGGCCCTGATTGTGCAACAGTGGGATCCCTTGATCTGGCCTGCACCCTCTCACAATCCGGGCCCCTCGGGGGATGTTGGAGAGCCAGTTTTGGCCCGATCCCACAGGCAGGCCACAGGACACCACTGGTGCACAAATTCGTGTACCAGGCCTCTAGTTAACAAATAAAGCAAAAAGGGTAGACCTGAGTAGTTGAGGCAAATTTGTTATTCAAATCTAAATCAGTCTTCTTTAGTTAATAGAGTAGGATTTTTTCAAAAATTAACACTACTTAAGTGTCCACTATAGCAAGTGCTTAATTTAGACAGATATTTGGACACAAAAGGAAGAAAGGCTTCTTTTTAGGGGCATAGACAAAGAGGTAGGTGAAGAAAGACAACAGCTTCAGATTGGATGTATTAACTCTAGGTGCCACTGGGACATCCAAGAAACATGAGAATCAGACAGTTGTAGACCTGAGGTTTAATCTTAAAACAAGCTGAAGTTAAATCATTTTTAAAATATGTAGCATTGAAATTAGTAGTTAAATTAGGGAAATAAAAATAAATAAATCATGTAGACTCTATATAAAAATGGTGTAAAATAGTGGCCAGGAACACTTTAAAAATGCTTAGAAGATGGGAAAGCAGTAACAACAATTAGGAAGAGGAATGGGAGAAACAGTAAGAAAGAAAAGCAGCAAAGTTGGAAGCAAAGTGTATCAGAGAAGCCAAAAAAAAAAAGGGAAAATTTCCCTAAAATGAAGTAACAATATGAGAGATTGCTTTTGGCAAGTAGGTCATAAGTGATCTTTGAGAGAGTAGTTTAACAAAGGGTGGGCAGAAGCGGGAAATCTCTAGAGTCATGTCTATTTGTATTTAGAAGCTTGAGCTGACTCTTAAAATCATCAGTAACAAGTTAATAGTTGAAAATATTGGCCATGGTCATGGTCATATTTATAATCCTCTGTCTCTAGATTAATTCATGGCACTTCTTCCTCTGCCCACAATTTAAAAAAAAAATGTTTTTAAGTGTCAGGGACTTTGGAAATCATTAAATAAGAGATTGCAAATTGGCAGTTAACAAGACAAATTCAGCTCTCACGTTTCAAACTTTCCCCCTCCCACACATTTTTAACTTCTCTATAAAATTCATAGTTCTGGTAAAACTGATCCCACATTCCCAATGCAACTTTTGCAAGCATACACATTCCATTGACCTGTGGCTACCTGAACGCCCTAATGACACCCCACTTCACTCATTTCTGATAACAGCCTGGTTCCTGTAGCTGTGAGGTATTTAAGGTAGAAACCCATAAACTTGACATTTATATAGGAAACATTAAATCCATTAACCATCCAGTACTTATGCTTATTAAGACAGAGAAGTTGCCAGAACTGGTTTGGCTCAGTGGATAGAGCATCGGCCTGCAGACTCAAGGGTCCCGGGTTTGATTCTGGCAAGGTCATGTACCTTGGTTGCGGGCACATCCCCAGTGGGGGGCATGCAGGAGGCAGCTAATTGATGTTTCTGGCTCTCTATCCCTCTCCCCTTCCTCTCTGTAAAAAAATCAATAAAATATATTTTTTTAAAAAAGAGACAGAGAAGTTAAGGTCAGTATTTTCAGGGCTCCCCTTCCCTTGGGTTTTAATTTTGTTAGTGCGTGCGGGATTTTTGTTCACTTTTTAGGTTGTGTGTGTGTGTTACCATTTCCACTGGGTATTACTTAGAACACATCTGATGTATGTCTACCTGGGAGCCTGGCATCCTCCTCAATGGCTAGATATGGCTACCGAATATTAACTAGTATGGCCTCACGGCACATGGTGAAATCTGATGTTGAAAATAATTTGAACTAATTCATCAAAGCTGAGGCCACTACAAGTTACAAAATTTTAGGGTCACAATAAATTAAAACCATCAGCCTTGGCCAGGTAGCTCAGTTGATTAGAGCGTTTTCCTGATATGCCAAGGTTACAGGTTCGATCTCCAGTCAGGGAACATACAAGTAACCAAATGAATGCATGAATCAGTGGAACAACTATTGATGTTTCTCTCTCTCTCCAATCAATAAATAAAGTTTTTCTTAAATTTTAAATCATCAATAGAAATATTTTTTAAATGACTTTTCTTTTTCTACTAAATCCTTTTGATTTATATGCTAATTTTTAAGCCTACCTGATTGAAGAATTCGCCTAAGGAATATATATATATTCTGCAAGTATTTCTGACCGACATGTGAACTAGGGGGGAAAAAACCTTTAATAATATTTTACTACATACATTCAAAACTATTTTTATGAACAAAATGATGATTAGCAGCTAATTACTTAGACCATTAATTAACTGTCTTTTTTAGTGATTAAAAATATGTATGTTAATTGTACCCAAAAATGGAGGCAAGTTAAGAATCTAAAAGAAGGTTACTACCTTTAACATTTTAGTAGATAAATGTTGTGGAAAAATATATTGTGAATGAAAGAAAACTAAATCTGATAGCTTTCTATTTGCTTTTTATTTGTAGTTTTTATAATAAATCTTTAGTATAAAAATTTGTTAAACCAAAGAGCCTGGCCTCTCTTGAACCATTTCTGATAATGAACACTGACTGTGAATGCAAAACCCTGCATATCATTAGGTGAAACATTTATGCATTCAGAGTGTCTACTTGGTGGTTTTCTTCTTAAGGAGCTAAACAGTTCGTTAAACAAGCTGCTCCTGAATGGTAGATCAGAACAAGCATACGCTGCCTTCTGTAGAACTCTATTGTGAGGCTCTGCCCATTTGTGTTTTCTTTGAAACCATGAAAATGAAACCCTTATGCTCATATTAAAAGCATAAGAAAGGCATCTATTATGTCAATAGATTTAAAACACGGCCTGAGACACAGTGAGAACCACTCCAAAACGGCCCTCTTATTATAGCAAAGGTTAAGAAGTGCACTCCCAGGAAAACCTTCAAAGGCCTACATGTCATTATATTCCCAAACAGATGGCATCTCAGTGCTTGGAACTATAGTTTATGGACACCTACAACCTCAAATAAATCCTTTCTAATCCCACTCTTTTGTCTAGATTTTGTACTTTGATGATAACCGCAGGTGCCTTTCTCCATTCTTCACAAAATGATAGACAATGATATGGTGAAGATTCATGTTCATATGTGGACACAACTCTTAAAATGACTCCTATGCAACATACAAGTAATTTACCAGCAACAGATTCACACTTTAAGGATATCTATGATTCCTGGGTTCTAATTTACTAGAAGTCTTCAATAGTGTGAATTTTAGAGGAAAAATGATGAAAACCTAGCTCTCGCGTATATTGCTGAAGTGTAAATAAATTGATAAAAACCACTTTGCGAAACTCTCAAACTCAGGAGATGGGGACAAGACTATCATAGCAACACTGTTTATAATAATGAAAAACTGCAAACAATCCAAAAGTTCAACGGGAAAATGAACATATAAGTCGTGATAGAATCAAGTACTGTACAGCAATGAAAATGAATGATGTAGATGAAACCCAGTCACCACACAGAGCAAATGGATAAATCACAGAAAACTATATACATTTCCTTTACATAAACTTAAAAGCCTGCAAAATTGAACATGTGATTATTACTTATAGAATTTTAGATAGTTCACTTTTAACTATCTAAAATTCTGCTAGAAAAATTAAATCATACTCACCTAACTCATTGAAGTAAAAACTTTATATGGTTAGTTGCTACATACCTCATATACTAAATACTCTTTTGAATTTAAATTCAGTCTGCTACAACAAAGTTGCACACAGACATTAAATGATTTCTAATGGGTCAAGAAAATGTGTTTAAAATGCCATATACTTCAATATTTAAAGAAACTATGAAAACAATAAACTATAAAAAAATTTAAATAGTATCATAATTTAACCCAAATAACTTTACTTCATAGTTTACCTGAAACATCACAAGGCTTATGAGGATGCAGAAAATAGTTCCTCTTTAACTCCTGTCTGTATATAAGATGTGGCTTGTTGTGATCATCGTCATGTTCACTCCCATCTGCCTTCATTAAAGGTTCTAAGAAATATTCACCATCATGTGCTTTAAATGTTCCCATCTGAAAATTTAAAAAAATATAAAAATTAACTATTTTTTTCATCACTAAGAGAAAACAATACATTGTGCCATAGGTTAAAATTAACACACACCGAAGCAAGACAGCCAGGAGTCTCTCTGTTTACTGAATGTCATCAACTGAACATAAAGTTTCCGTTCTGTGGCTCACCTTTTTCTCTCAGCTCATATGTGTAAAGTTATGAACACAGGACAGTATTCCAATGGGCTGAGTTGAGATGACAGGTATTCCAGACATAAACAATGGCACAGGCAGCAGCATCAATATGGCAAAAAAATGTCTAGCACATTCTAGAAATAAGAAACCTGTTTGGCTTGGTCTACGTACAGTAGTAGTAGGAAACAAGATGTAAAGGTAGGTTGGGGTCAGAGAAAAGAGATGTTAAATGTAATGCTAATAGATTTAAATTTGTAAGCAATGGGGAGCCATTGAAGTTTTCACAAAAACCTGTCTTCTGAATTTCAGAATTCAATATCCAACCTACTTTTTGATATCTCCACTTAGATTAGTAGCATTCACAACCTTTACATGTCCAAAGCCAAATTCTTGATTTCTGGTTCAAACCTGCTGTTTCTAAAACTCGCTCTTTTTCAGTAAATGGTAACATTATTATTCAGATTGCCCAGGACAAAAATCCTTAGAGAAATATCAAGGATGACTCTTTCTTTCATATCCCACCTTCACTCCACCTTCAAAATCCTGAATGCTGAACCTTTAAAGTACAACTGAAATCCAGCCACTCCTCCCAAATTTTACCACTATATCCATGATCTCTTTCTAGAACTAAACCAATAGCCCTTTATAGTCTAGTCTCCACAGAAGAGTCACAGTAATTTCTCTTAAGTCTATATCATGTCACTCTAAAAAGAGAAAACAAAAAACACTCTAGTGACTTTTCATATCACTCAGTAAAATCCAAAGTTCTTTCAATGATCTACAATGTCCTGTGTGATCTGTCCACCCCTTTTCACCACCCGTCCCTCCAAGGACACAGATGACTAATAGTTCTGACTTCTCCCGCTTGCATCTTGGCTCATCCTAGTGTCTTTGCTATTCCTCAAATATGACAAGTATATTCTCCCCTCAACACCTCTGTACTTAGTAAACCTTCTGCCTCTCAATGTTTCCCTGATGGCTCTCACTACATGTCTCCACTCAACATTCATCACCCTATATAAAATGACACCTAAACTCCTACTTTAGCTCTTTTATCCAGTTTCATTTTTCTTCATAGCACTTATCACTAATGGGTATATTTTTATTTATGTTCATTTGTTCCTTGTCTGGTATTATCCACTAAAATATAAACTCCATGAGAGCAGAGCTTTGCCTGCACTCTTTTCTACATGCCTCTCATGCCGGCTGTGTACCAGATATTGGATAACATATTAAATGAATAAGTAAGACTGTAAGGTATGCAATGTAATCTAGTAACATGGAGTGCTATATATGGTAGAAAAAAAAATACTAGCAATTATAAGACAGAGGCTATAGCCCAGAAGAGAGGTAACAAACCTTGAATGACAGTGACAGTGATGGGAGGACAGTTGGAACAAAAAGTTACAAGATGCCAATGCCCAAGGAAAGCAGAAAACCAGGGAGAGAAAGAGTTTATGATAAAGACAATTTCCTGGGAAAACATAATTTACCAAACGTAACTCCAGAAATGTTAAAAATCTCAACAGACCCCTTTTCTACCAAACAACAGAAAACGTTATCAGAGTTTTACCATGAAACCTCCAGGTCTTAATGGTTTCACAGAGAAATTCCACCAAACCTTGAAAGAGCACATAATTCCACTGTTATTTCAACTGTTCCTAAATATCTACACTAACAAAAAGGTAATATGCTAATTAGACCAGGTCGACCGGACATCTTCCAGTCGTCCTGCCTTCCTCCTGGACAAAGCTATGGTGCGGGGGCCGAGGTAGAGGTGGTTAGGGGCAATCAGGCTGGCAGGGGAGGGCAGTAAGGGGAGGTCAGGCTGGCAGGGGAGGGCAGTTAAGGGCAGTCAGGCTGGCAGGGGAGGGCAGTTAGGGGAAATCAGGCAGGCAGGCAAGTAAGCAGTTAGGAGCCAGCAGTCCCAGATGGCGAGAGGGATGTCCACCTGCCGGTATTCAGATATCCCCCAAGGGGTCCCAGATTGGAGAGGGTGCAGGCTGGGCTGAAGGACCCCCACACACACACACCCGCCGCCCCGTGCATGAATTTCATGCACGGGGTCTCTAGTTTTAAAAAGAAAACATTCAAGTTAATTTTATGAAGCTAGTGTAAACTTACAGCAAAACATGATAAGGACGGCAGCAAAATTAAACAAAAAACATACAGGATAAGCTCATATGTGAATATTAAGATAAAAGTCCTAAATTGTATTAGCAAACAAATTCAGCAACACATGGAAAGAATAATACATCATGAGATGGAATTTATCATAAGAATGTAAGTATGGAGAAACTAAGGTGGCGGCAGAGATAAACACCGGGAAATTAATGCCGCTCACAACAATTGATTAATACCTCAGAAAAACAATACGGACATCATCAGAACCACAGGAAGCCTGGCTGACTGTAAATTCTACAACTAGAAGGAAGGAAAGGCACACTGAGAGCAAGAGAAGCTGCAGAAGAGACGCGCAGAGGTAGGGGGCTCGCGCGCGGAAAGGGGCTGGCACCTGAGGACGCGGCTGTCTTTTTGAATCCGGAGGGAGTCACAAGCTCCCGACGGCTCTGATCTCCGGTTCCGGGAAGTCTCTGGGGACCCAGGACTCATGCGGGGAGAAACTGGACTGTCTGGCAGCGGGCGATCTTGAGGGCGGCTTTCGCTCAGAGGTGCTTGCAGCCATTACAGGACACTGAGACTCGCAGCTCCTTAGGGCAGGGCTGAGGCTCCGCCATAGCTGCTTGCTCTGCCCTTTGATTCCTTGAGACCCCGCCCCACCCAGGCTGCCGCAGAGGCTTCTGCATATGAATGCCCCGGCCATTTGCAACCTGTAATTACCTAACTGCAGCCGGGTCAGACAGACCCAGAACTTCTAAGAGAAGCCCCAAGGACCCACAGCG